AAAGGGGGGGGTCCTTGCGGAAAACGCTGGTGCCGTCTGTGTTTAAGCCCAACGTCTCTGGGCTCCAGTAGTCAATTCCTCACTTGCTGGGTTTACACTGAAGGCAAAACGCTCCCATGTGGAGGGTGATGGGATTAACATGTGTCCGACGGCATCTGGAGGTGGGCGCCCGCCGGGGACACGTGTATTTCTGAGGCTTCGTGCGTGAGGAGGGCGACTTGACTCCACGGCACAGCCCAGCCCCGCCCTCCTGTGGCATTGCTGCTTCTTCCTCTTCTTCTTTTAAAAAATGTATTTTTATTGATGTCAGAGAGGAAGGGAGAGAGAGAGAGAGAGAGAGAGAGAGAGAGAGAGAGAAACATCCATGAAGACAGAGAATCATGGATCGGCTGCCTCCTGCACGCCCCACACTGGGGATCGAGCCCGCAACCCGGGCCTGTGCCCCGATTGGGGATAGAACCCATGACCCTTCAGTCCCCGGGCCGATGCTCTATCCACTGAGCCACACCGGCCAGGGCCAATGATGAATTTTTAAAAAAAAATATTTTGTTTTATTGCTTAAGAAAAAAATTTTTTTTAAACAAAATTATCTGCCTCGATCGCCCCATTCGCAAATTCACTGGTAAATATCAAATTAGTAGAATTAGCGTGGAGGGTGGGGCGGGGGGGGGACGTGTAAATTCATCTCAGCGCTCATTCCCGGAAAGTTGCATCTGGTCTGAGGCGCTGAGAGCCAGGCTCCTGCCCGAAGCAATTTGCGGCGGAGACACCCGCCCGGCCGGACAGCACGGCTTGGAACAGAGACCGCGGCGGCGGCGGCGGAAGGGGGCTTTGCTGGGCGACTTGCTGTGCGAGGCGTGCACGTCGGACGCGTGTTTCAGGAAACCCCGAATAAAGCTTGCCGAGGGCCAACGTGTCTGTTACGAGTTAGGCCCCGGCTTACACAGGATCAGGAGGAGGGTTGAGTCTCTTCTGGGGAATTTTAAACAAACAATTAGACATCTTTCTCAGATGGGTTCAGAAGAGCGAGAGCATGGAATGCGTGTGCGTGTGCGTGTGTGTGTGTGTGTGTGTGTGTGTGTGTGTGTAACTTCTCACAAGCTCCGTATGTTCATTCTTGGGGCGTTTCCAACGCGACGCTTTGAGGAAACTGCAGCGAGAAAGGCAGACGGCTGCTCCTAAACTCAGATGCCCCGCGATCGCCCAGTGATCGGGACTCGGGGGCGAGAGGCGCTGCTGGGTGGTGGCTGTAGCTCAGGCACCGCGGGGGACATCCTGAACATCGGCTTGGTTTCCCGGGTGAAGGTGAAACGATTTCTAAGGAGTCAGGGCTCAGTGACGAGGAGAGGGGGCCGGGCCGGTGTGGCTCAGTGGCTGAGCGTCGATCTAGGAATCGGGAGGTGACAGTTCGATTCCCGGGTTGCGGGTTCGATCCCCAGTGTGGGGGGTGCAGGAGGCAGCCGGTCCATGATTCCCTCTCATCACTGATGTTTCTTTTTCTCTCCCTCTCCCTTCCTCTCTGAAATCAATACAAAAATATATTAATACTATAAATAAACACAAGAGCCCGCCCCCCTCTTCACGCTGTTAATTAGCCCCTAGATCATCGCCAGGGTTGTAGTGTTAATATTGGGGTTGTCCTTCCTCAATGCATAGCTCGGCCATTTCGCTGTTACCTCCTGGAGAATGTCTGTGTTCACTTGCTGATCTCTGCCTGCTCCGTGCGAATTTCAACTCAGTTCAAGTTCACAGCCATTCAGGTGACAAAAGAAAAGCAAGTACTACTCTCCCCCCCGCCCCCCATTGAGTCTTAGAGAGAGAGAGAGAGGAAGGAGGGAGAGAGAGAGAGAGAGAGAGAGAAATATCGATGTGAGAGAGACACATCGCTGGGTTGCTTCCTGCACGCGTCCGGCCGGGGATGGAGCCCACAACCCAGGTATGTGCCCTTGACCGGAATTGAACCCGGGACCCTTCAGTCCGCAGGCGGACACTCTATCCACGGAGCTGATCTGGCCAGGGCGAGCACGTGTTATTTTTGAAGCGTGCCTCCGCGTCCATAAGGTGTGTGTGGACAGCTGGGCAGACGCGGCCTGGCCCGTCCGTGTTCTGAAGCGTGAAACGATCCATCGGGGGTTGTGGTCGGCGTCGTTTAAGCACGCCATGGAGGTTAACTCATCTGACTCTCCCACAAGGCGGGTCCGTTCCCCCGCCCCGGGAAGGGCTGTGCTGGCTTTGAGAGGTGCATTCCTGTGTGTGTGTGGGGGGGTGAGGATGGGGGAACATGAGACCGTAAGGCCCTGGATAACTCCCTCCTGCACCCACGGGACCGACACGCTGTGGGTGCACGGACCTCCGCCCTAGAGCTTCATGGTAATGGAGATGACGTCAGCCTCGTCCGAAGGAGCGTGGTGTCTCCGGGGCCTGAGGCCGGCACTCAGCAGCCAGCCGCAGGAATGCATTATCTGCCCGCAGCTGTCACTCAGGGGCCGTGCAAGCAGGTCACTTCCCAGCAAATGGCCGATGACCTCAGCGCCCCCAGAAGACGCCCCGGTGGGCCGACGCGTCAGAACCGACGTCGGGCGCAGACCAATTTGCGGAAATGGGGCTCGGCCCGCAGGGGAATGAGGCCGGCGTCCTGCGTGTCCATCGCGTCTTATTCATTATTTAGGCGGGATGCGGGCTTGTCGCTAGAAGCAGATGTTGACAGACCAGGAAGCGCACGTGTTTGAATTCCCTTTGCCCCGCGGGCTGTGGTGTCCCCTTAGGAGCGAGGAAGAAAAGGCCAGGCCTGACCGTCCAAGAGGCTTCCGTGTTCTCGTCACGTCCATTGTCCCTGGCTCCTCTGGTCAAACACAACGCTACGGGTTCCAGACACGCCAACCCCACCGGACTAGTGTTTTTATTGCTTTCAGAGAGGAAGGGAGAGGGAGAGAGAGAGAGAGGGAGAGAGAAACATGGATCAGCTGCCTCCTGCACACCCCCTACTGGGGATGTGCCCGCAACCAAGGTGCATGCCCTTGACCGGAATCGAACCTGGGACCCTTCAGTCCGCAGGGCGACGCTCTATTCACTGAGCCACACCGGTGAGGGTGAGGATTTATTTTTTTTTAAGCACATAAAGTTGTATTGTGGAGGGAATGGTTTAGACTCTTGTAAAACCCTCTCACAAGCGAAGCCGTGTCTTAAGCAAAAACAAAACAAATTCAAGCATTTTCATAAAATACGTAAGTGTAATTGGTTTGCAAGCCCTGCAGTAAATTACATGCTTCCCCGTGATTTTAGTTTGCATATTCAATACATAGCAAACGCGGTCTCCGGAAGATGCGTATCCGTGGTATTTTTTTTTTTTTTAAATCACACTTAACATTTTTGATTCTTTTCGAGAAATTGAAGGAGGAAGGTTTGTCATTAATGTGTGATGGTTTTGTTTCCACAATCATTGCCAAATGCAAAACCAGACCAAACGCATGTATTTGACGTGGCCGTTTGTAATCTTAAGTAATATTTTATTTTATGTAATACTAGAGGCCGGGTGCATGGATTCGTGCACCGGGGGGTCCCTGGCCCTGGCCTGCGGGGATTGGGCCGAAACTTGCTGTCCGACATCCCCCAGGGGGGTCCCGGAGTGCGAGAGGGCGCTCTGCAAAGTTGCTGTCACTCAGCAGCTCCTGCGTTGAGCGTCTGCCCCCTGGTGGTCAGTGCACGTCATAGCTACCGGCCGGTTGCTTAGGCTTTTATATATACAGTTAAGGGCATAGGAGAAGGAACACTGGGATTCGGAGTCTTGTTTGTCTTAATACATTTGCTATAAAGAGACGATTCTTTTGTCCTGACTGGGTAGCTCAGCTGGTCAGAGCTTCGTCCTGATATGCCAAGGGGGCTGGTTTGACCCCAGGCCAGGGCACATACGAGAAACAACCAAATGAATACACCCATCAATGGAACAACAAATTGATCTCTCCCTCTCTCTCAAGTCAATGTAAAAAAAAAAATCTATTCTTGCCCGGCTGGCGTGGCTCCGTGGCTGAGCATCCACCTATGAACCAGGAGGTCGCGGTTCGATTCCTGGTCAGGGCACCTGCCCGGGTTGCAGGCTTGATCCCCAATAGGGGGCATGCAGGAGGCAGCCGACCCATGATTCTCTCTCATCATTGATGTTTCTATCTCTCTCCCTCTCCCTTCCTCTCTGACATCAATACACACACACACACACACACACACACACAAAACGTCTATTCTTCTTCTATGGGCTCTATTTCTCCCAATTGTGAGGCCCAAGGCAGGAGGCTGGGGAGATGCTAAGGTGTGTTGTGCGGACCAGCTGCCTAGAGTCGCCTGGAGTTTGTTAGAAATGCAGAATCTCTGCTCTGGTTCTGGGCCCACAGAACCAGAACCGGCATTTGACTATCTCCGCCCCCAGGTAATTCCTACGCTCAAAGAGTTTCCTTTTTTTTTTCTTCCAATCCTCACCGGAGAATATTTTCCCGTTGATTTTTAGGGAGAATGGGAGAGAGAGGGAAAGACAGAGGGAAACATCGGGGTGAGAGAAACACATCGATGGGTTGCCTCCTGCACGCGCCCCGTCCAGGGCCCGGGCCGGGGAGGAGCCTGCAATTGTGCTACGCGCCCTTGACTGGAATCAAACCCGGGACCCTACGGTCCCACAGGCCGACGCTCTATCCACTGAGCCACACCGGCCAGGGCTGAAAGAGTTCCTTAACCTTCTGCGAGGTCATGGATACCAGGGTTTCCACGTCCTGTCGGATGTTGGGCGCAGCCTTGCCTCCTGCCCCCCGGGCTCACGGAGGAAACCCCACAGAGAGCGGGGGCCGGGGGGGGTGGGCCGCGAGGAGGAGGAGGTGGCACGTCCAGGCGGACGACTCGCTTCCTCGCCGACGGTCTTCGCTACGGAAAACCGTGAGTGCGGCGCCGGGCCCTCTCCGAAGCGGGGACGCGCAGGTCTCTTCTGCACGGCTCTGCTTCTCATTACCGCCTGACAGGAGGAGTGACCCCATCGCCTGGCTGATGTGCCAGAACCTTCGCGGGCCCCACCTGGCGCGCCCACGGCCCCCCTCCGGCCCTGACATCCGCAGAGCTCGGATTGACGGAGCTGGCCCGCGCGCCGGCGGCCAAGCCAACACAAGCATCGTCCGGCAGCCTCTGCGCTCGGAACGAGACAGTGCGCTCTGTGAAGGCTTAGCGAAGCCACGTCTAATTAGGCACCAGCCGGCTCTCCTAACAAAGAGAGGGAATGAGAAAACAACAGCACGGTTTTGGGGTGAAAAGGCCATCGTTTGCATGGCCGCACGGGAACGGCCATGAGCTCCAGCAACACAGAATCCCCCTGGCCCCCGCGCCCCCTCCTCCCAGCGGCTGATGGATATGGAAGGTGACAAGGGAGGGGGGCCGGGGCTTGCTTCCATGGACGGGTGGGGTCCATCGAGGAACCCCGGTCGCGTGAGGAGACAGCGCGATGCATCGGCTGCCGTGGCTGGAAGCACAGAAGGCCCTGAGGAGCCACGGGCCTGGGGGCCGCTGTCGAGTGTCTGGCGGGCGTGTGGTGGGCGGAAGGTGGCTGCCTCGGGCCCTGGACACGCGTGGACTGGCGGGAAGTGGGTGCGGAGGGGCGCGGTCCCTAGAGGGGTGGGGTCGGTGGAGACGGGACGGCCCGGGCCGCTGGGACGACGGACGCGAGCAGAACCACAACGGGACGCGTCGGAAAGTCTTTCTTTTTAATTGTTTTGTTTGTTGTTGTTAATCCTCACGCCGATCCATGTTCCCATTGGTGTTTTTTTTTTAATAATATATTTTATTGATTTTTTACAGAGAAGAAGGGAGAGGGACAGAGAGTTAGAAACATCGATGAGAGAGAAACATCGATCAGCTGCCTCCTGCATGCCTCCTACTGGGGATGTGCCCGCAACCCAGGTACATCCCCTTGACTGGAATCGAACCCAGGACCCTTCAGTCCATAGGCTGGCGCTCTATCCACTGAGCCACACCAGTCAGGGCATTTCCGTTGGTTTGTAGAGAGCGTGGAAGGGAGAGGGGGCGACGCAGAGATGCATCGAGGTGAGAGAGACACATGGGTGGGCTGCCTCCCACACGAGCCCCAGCCAGGGATGGAGCCTGCAACCAACGGACGTGCTCTTGACCGGAATCGAACCCGGGACCCTTCGGCCCGCGGGCTGATGCTCTATCCACGGAGCCCAAGAAAACTATATTTTTTAAAAAATGGACTTTATTCTTATGGACAAAGTCCTGCGGGCACAACAGGAAGTCGGGACCCATCAGGCCAGCCCACGGTCTTCTCCTGCTCAGACACCCGCGGCTCATCCCAGCGCGGGTTAACTTCCCGCCAGAGAACGTGAGGGCGCAGGGACCAGCCCGGATCCCGCATGGCTGGCTATCGTGCCCGTGTCTACCCCATTTCACGGTTTGCCACGTAAAAGTCACAGTAACATTCGACATATTTTTTTAATAGAAAGAAACGGGCCATTCTGAGCAGCCCTATTTTTTCCTTGGTCTGTCAAGAATCGCCACATGGCGTCCCCACCGATACTTTTACTTAAAAAAAATAAAATCCCCTTGGCACTGCGGGGAGCTCGGCGAGGAGGGATCGTGGGGGACAGGCATCGTGCGCAGGGTGCGAGCGTGTTTCCAATTTGAAGCTGGCCCCCAAGCGGCAGGGCGGACGCGGCCAGGGGCCTCCACTCTGCTGTCAGCTGCAGGCAGAGAGCGCGACGTCTCACGGAGTCCCCTACGCCCGCCAAGAAACACACGCGGAGAACAATGAATAGAATTGCAAATCCAAGGCAATTGGCTAATTTTGCTGTCCAGGCACATTTCTCAACGTCCTCAATAGGGGAAAATTATATATATATATATTTTAAAGAAACCGGCACGGGCTCACGCGACGATGAGAACGTAGGTGAAAAAGCAGTTGCTGGGAAAATATTTGTCGCCAGATCAGCTTCCTCCTTTGGGATATGATCGCGGAGATTTATTAATGTTAACACTTAGGCCCGTGGTCGGCAAACTGCGGCTCGCGAGCCACATGCGGCTCTTTGGCCCCTTGAGTGCGGCTCTTCCTAAGCCTTAGGAGGACCCTAATTAAGTGAATAGCAATGTACCTACCTGTATAGTTTAAGTTCAAAAAACTTGGCTCTCAAAGGAAATTTCAATCGTTGTACTGTGGATATTTGGCTCTGTTGACTAATGAGTTTGCCGACCACTGGCTTAGGCCGTGGCAGAAACATCAGAAAGATCTCAACGCACTCCTATTCGGACTCAAATCTCAGGAAAGACAACCATATCTATAATAATAAAAGGGTAATATGCTGATTAGACCGGGTGTCATTCTGGATGTCCTTTCAGACGAAGCTGGGGTCGGGGAGGGAAGCCAGTGCTGGCAGCCAGGGGAAGGAAGGCCTACTCTTGCACGCATTTCATGCATCGGGCCTCTAGTATATATATATATATAAACTTTATCTCGCCCTGGCTGGTGTGGCTAAGTGGATAGAGCGTGGGCCTGTGGACTGAAGGGTCCCGGGTTCGATTCCGGTCAAGGCCACAGGCCCGGGTTGCGGGCTCGATCCCCAGTGGGGCGCGTGCAGGAGGCAGCTGATCAGTGATTCTCTGTCAACCACTGAGCCACGTGGCCGGGCTTTAGGTACAGTGTTTATTGACATGCATTTGGGAATGAGGAGCCACGCAGAGCAGAGTGCACGGGCGTAACCCCACGTGTAAGTCAAGTGGAGAGAGACGGCTCTCTCCTCGGGGAGGGGCCCTTCTCCCGTCGGTGACGTCACTTAGCGTCTGTCCCCTGGCGCTGCTCGTTCCGCCAGGTGAGGGAGGGCAAAGGGGGGATAGCACACCCGCCCGAGCCCCCAGAACCCTGCCCCTGCCCCTGACCCACGGCCGCCACCACTCCTGGCCCCGGGGGCGTCTCACGTCCTAGATTCCCCGTCCGTCCGTCATCTGTGATCCCTGGTCTCCGAGGCTCTGGCTGATGTTGGGAACTGACTGTGTCACCATTTTCCTACCTGACCTGGAGCTGGGCCCCCCAAGGTGAAAGCCTCCAGTCCCCGGGCCATGTCGGGGCTCCCTGCTTCTGTACCCCACACCCTGCCCCGACGACAGCCCCTTCTGTTAGGGAACCGCCTGGCTGTGCCCCTACAGGGAAGCTTTGCCCCAGGGGACCCCCTCCGTTTCTGCTCCAAGGGGGAGGGGGGTTGCCTGTGACGAGGGAGAGAGAGAGAGAGAGAGAGAGAGAGAGAGAGACCCAGTTGCTCTCGGGGCTCCGTGGGCTTACGCTGCCAGAAGCAATTTGCTGTATTTACGCAGTGACTTTCCGTACCTGTCAGCCCCTAAAGCCGCCTGCCCTTGCCTGCTCCGTCCAACAATAACACTGACATCTGTTTCGTACTTGAGAGCGGATGCCAGCCCCTCGCGTGCGAGGTCTCATTTCATGTCAGCCGGGCTGGACGGCCCCGGGAACACGTCTAAACAATGAGAACGTTTCGGGATTAGAGGGGGGGGGGAGTCCGCTCTCCCCGGGTCTCCCCGGCTCGATCACAAACATCTGGACGAGGCCTCGCCCCTGGAGGAGTGAGGAGGGGGCCGGGTGCCCCCCAGCTTGCTCAGCGTTCTCCCCCTGACCCGGCCCTGGTCGCCCTTCTCCCGCCGCCGCTGGGGCCGGGTGGGCCTGTCCAGGGACCCCCTTCCCCTCGTCATCAAGTCACTCGGGCCGTGTGTTTTCGATCCGCAAGCTCTTCTGGGCGCGGGGCTGAGGGCCGCGAGCTCGCTCAGTATTTGCATCTCGGACGGACGGGAAATCCCCGAGGTCATGTCTGAACCTGGGGGCGAGGCCAGGCACCGAGGATGTCAGATGCAGCGACAGGTGCGATTTCGAAACAGAGTCCTCCCTCCATCCCAGCAGGCAGATGTCGTCAGTGCTGCCCACGTGAGGCAGGCTCTCCCAGAATCGATAAAATGCTGATAAAATATCAATATGGATAAAATACTGATAAAATATCAATATGGATAAAATACAAAATACCATTATTGATAAAGTATTGACAAAATACCAATATTGATAAAGTATTGATAAAATACCAATATGGGGTTAGGCTCACACAAAGGCGCATTTTCTTTATTTTTATTGATTTCAGAGAGGAAGGGAAAGGGAGAGATAGAAACATCAATGATGTGAGAGAGGCATGGATCGCCTGCCCCCTGCTGGGGATCGAGCCCACACCCCGGGCATGTGCCCTGACCTGAATCGAACCGGCGACCTTCTGGTTCCTGGTCGATGCTGAACCTCTCGGCCACGCCGGCCGGGATGGACTTCTTCCTGGGCAGGGAGAGCTCAGGATGTGCCATATGCTCCCTCCTCCCCACCCCCCTTCCCGGGGGAGTCTCCTGGGAGCTGGGGCTGAGACACCCGGGCCCCCAGATCCTGCCTTAAAATTGGTCTCTCTGCTTCTGAAAAAGGTGCTTAGAATCATTCATACCTCCCTCCCCTGAACAACTTCCGCTCTAAAGGAAGTGGCCGCTCTGGCCGGTGCGGCCCAGTGGATAGAGCGTCGGCCTGCGGATCGAAGGGTCCCGGGTTTGATTCCGGTCAAGGGCACGGACCTCGGTGGCAGGCTCCTCCCTGGCCAGGGTCCTGGTCGGGGTGCGTGCAGGAGGCCACCCATCGATGTGTCTCTCTCTCATCGATGTGTCTGTCTTTCCCCCTCCCTTCCACTCTCTCTAAAAATCAACGGGAAAATATCCTCGGGGGAGGATTAAAAAGAAAAGAGGCGGGCGGGGGGCGGAAAGTAAAGACAGAAAACGCCAGCGGGGCAGAGAAGACGCAGGAGTGGGACTCAGCGTGTGACTCCCCCGGGGCCGGTGCGCTCGGCGTTCCGCGTGGCTCCCTGGGCGGCCGCCCGGGCTGCGTGCGCTGTGGATCGCCGGGGGAGCAGGCCTGCAGGAGAATGGAGGCTGATGACGGTCCCCTCCTCCTTTGCCACACGAACAATCACCAATCAGGGAGAATGGGCCCTCAACGTGCCCCGTCAGCACCCTCGCCTCCTCCCGCCGGAGCGGCCGTGTGCATGATGATAACTGCGCTGCCTTCTGGCTCTTCTCTCTGCGTCGCGTCTCGTTCGGTGCCGCCCGCGTTTTCCGTGG